GTGGGACAAGAAATGGCTGTTCCAGAAGCTAACACCAGCCCAAGATAAAGTAACAAGCCTCTGAACCTACAAAATTCCAGTCTCTCCACAGCACTGAAATCCCAACTGATCTGTCAGTCTCTGCACACAGACTCCTTCCAGGAGTCCTTTGGTCACAGCCAGACACGGCTGCTTTTCAGGGATTTTTGTTCACACCACAGGACTTCCTGTTCTCCTAGCACACAGTACCTCACGGGTCCCCACCCAGCACTTGAAAGCTTTCTCCTAAGTCCTTGGGAACTGGCTGCCAGCATCGTGTCTAACGTGGGCTAACACTGGTCAGCCTCAGCTGAAGCAGGAGCTGAGACCGCCGTGGGTACCCACCCTGGTGTTCTGTTCAGGCGTCGTCATCTTCTATTCCGTGTCCACATCAGGGAAAGAGGAAATTCCACGCTGGCACAAGGTGGGCCTTCATCAGTGGGTGTGTTTACCCGTGACAAACAGAACTCAGGGATATTAGGAGTTCCTTAGAGGGTGCCATGTGTTCTAACAAAGGACCCAGGGGAGCAGAACACTGAAACTATATCAGAAGCCACAGTGATAAAGACTGACTACATTTAAAAAAAAAAAAAAACGTCCCAAGGACAGGCTTCAGTATGTCTCTCTTCTGGGCAGCACAGTGGTGGTCACCTCAGAGAGCCAGCTATGGGGATGGAGGGAGAACACACCACAGCATGATGTGAACCTACCCTGAAGAGCATTAAAGAATCGTGAATATGGGGGTGGCTCAGTGGTTAGGAGCACTGGCTGCTCTTCCAGAGGACCCAGGTTTGATTCCCAGCATCGACAACCATCTATAACTCCAGTCCCAGGGGACCCAATACCCTCTTCTGGCCTCTGAGGGCACAGCATGCTTGGGGTACACAGACATGCATGCATGCACATCACCCATACACATAAAAATAAAGAGGAAAAAAGAAGCATAAATGTAACCACAGAGCCCCGCTCTGTGCCCACTTGTAGACCTGATTTAGATCCACTGCTGGAAGGAATGGAGCCGTTGTGGCTCCAGAGGAAAGAAAAACAAAACAAAAAACAGTCATCATGAATAAAAATCCCAAGACCACTTTTAGAAATCGAATTAGGAAATAATCCAAATATTGTCATAAGGATTCATGAACCAAGATGTTTATCATGGCTATAATTTGCAGTTATGAAAACTAGGAGGAAAACAAAATTATAGCCATAAGGGTTTGGTCAAATTATTTGTCTGTTAAGATCCCTGCTGTATCTTTTGCTGTGGATAAACCCGGCAGTGGTGAAAACACACCGTGACCCGGCTACCTCACGGCCCGGGTGTGTGACTGGGAGATTCTCCCTGTGAGTGACCCTCTGCGCCCTGTCTGAGGAAGCCTTCCTACCTGTCCCATGTTCCCTAAGGTGGGGAATTAGACCGCAAGTCAGAGGCACAGGGCAACAGGACTTGTCCTTGATGCCTGTTTCTGAGAGCTGATTCTCACACAGGATGTGGCTGGTGGGGCCGCTTACACTTGAGAGGTGTTTCATTATGAATTGGTTTTTTTTGGGGGGGGGGGAAGTATTCACGGGCGAGTTTGTCTGGAATCTGCCAGTGACACTTTTGGAGGAAGGGCTGTGTGCACAAGAAGCCATGGAAAAGCAGTTCATGGTGCTGGAGATGTCCATGGTCGCTCAGCCCCATTGCTGGCCCCCTATGAGAGGGCACAGTGGCAAGAAACACAGAGAAAGAGGCAGAAGGGGCTGGGGACAAGGTTTCTCTCTGCAGAGCATGCACCCCAGCTGGCCTGCTTCCTCTAGCTAGACTCTTCCCCCTATTTTCCACTTCTCAATACTCCATCCAAGGGTCAATCCACTGACGGAGCGGGAACCCCAGGCCCCAGTCACATGCATCTTTTGGGGGAACCCTTCACATTTAAATACCACAAGGACGACACTCTGGGGAAGGCCCGTCTGAAAAGCCATGGTCTGGGATGGGCATCCCTGCTGAGTCGAGAGCCAAGGCAGGGCCTGGGCCTGTCACTCAGGGCCTGGCGTTCCTTCACTGCCTCTGGGAGTCTTAGGATATAAACAGACGATGAGGAGCAGCCATGCCTTCTGGATGTGTCTACAGTCAACAGCAGCGGGACCCCAGGATCTTCTTGTAACAGACATGGCTGAAGCCAGCTCACCAAGGAGGGGGCCCAGGGCCCTCTGATTTATGCATTGTCAAGAGGTCCCTTGTACCAGCATCCCCACCAAGTCGCTTCCGCCTCTGAGCCCTCATCCCACCTGCTCCTCTCCACCTTCACCCTTCCCCATCTGACGACTGTAGCTAGAGTTTTCCTGCCTGGCCTACAGTCAGGACAAATCTGTCAACTGCCAGTCCCACAGCCGCTCAGACCCAACCAAGTAAACACAGAGACTTCTATTGCTTACAAACTGTATGGCCATGGCAGGCTTCTTGCTAACTGTTCTTATAGCTTAAATTAATCCATTTCCATAAATCTATACCTTGCCACGTTGCCAGCATCTTCATATGTGGCTTGTCCTGGCGGCGGCTGGCAGTCTCTCCCCCTGCCTTCCTGTTCTCTCAATTCTCCTCTCGTTAGTCCCGCCTATACTTCCTGCCTGGCCACTGACCAATCAGTGTTTTATTTATTGACCAATCAGAGCATTTGACACACAGACCATCCCACAGCAGACGACCTCTCTGCCTGCCCCTCTCTCCACTTCTGTCCTTCTCTGCATGCCCCCCAAGCCCCCCCACCTCTGCCCTTTCTCACCTGCCCACTCTACAGGAGAGGCTTGACTCACAGGAACCAGCCGCTCAAAGGCACCTAGATGTCTACACTGGGGTTGTTGTCTGGACTCAAGACCTCATGGTATGTTCTTTGATTCTTCTCATTTGCCCAGAGACTTGATTAACTAAATTCATGCAAACTATGGAAATCCATACCACATCACTGGTAGTCTTTATGCATTTTCCCAGTTACACATTCACAGAGAAGTAGTCGGGGAAGATTTTACTATTTCTAGGATATTTAAATGTACTTTTTTTCTTGTAAAAATGTTAGAAGTCAGTATTTCCTTTTTTAAAAATACTTCGAAATGAGTGTACTGGAAAGCATGCAAGCCATGCAGCCATGGCTGTTATCAGCTGTGTTCATGCCTGCTTGGCTGAAGTCGCTTTGGGTACCTACACAGGCTGTCTTCCCAGTCAGACTCTTGGCAACGGTATTCATTCATCTTATCGGCACCATCTGGAACTCTGAGATGCAGTTTTTTATTTATAAATCAAGTAGACCATGAAATGTATTTGAGGTGCAATATTAAATGCCCCCACGTTCTGAAGGGACCAACAACCGTTCTCTGAGATTTCACTTCGCTCCAGCCTGAACACGAGTCATGCATATTTTGTGGTTATTTTTATTTCTTTGCTATAGTAAGCAGACCCCGAGTGGCTCCACATCTCTGATGAATACAGTATGTGCTAGCGTTTGTGGCGGCCGCTGTCTGGGTGGGCATCCCTGGTGAGTTCTTCCCTTGCATTTGGTGGAGGGGTGGTCTTAGGGTGTAAGCAGAGTATGGGGAGCAGCCTTGCCCTCTGGATGGTGACTATACTCAGAGTCAGTAAAGGGGGACCCCAGTATCTTCTTGTATCAGAGTTGATTGAGGGCGGCCCAGACGGGTGGCTTTCTGTCCCTTATGCAAAGTGGCTTTCTCTAAGTTGGAAGTGAGAAGCCAGGTGATGGTCAAGCCCCTTTCTTGGGCACTGAGCCTGGCAGAGAAGCCTGTGCCGCCTTCCTGACACGAGCCAAGCCTTTGGGGATTGTACTTGGCCAGGATCAAGGCTGGGAAGATGCCATTCTTCTGCTGTCTGATGCAAAGCCTTTCTTCCCCTTTTGGACACAGAATGTAAAGCAAATTTAACAGCTGGGAAGTGCAAAATCTGTACATATGTGTGTTGCATGCTGCTGCCTGAGTGTGGATGTGCAAGTGTGGGTGATGTGCACACACATGCATGTGTATGCATGTATGTGAGTGTGTGGGTGAGGGTGTGGTGAGTTATGGATAGATACTCCTGCGAACACATCATCTCCATGCTGGGGTGTGTTAAGGTGTCCAGAGTGCTCAATCTAGATGAGCCACATGGCTAGGCGCCTTTAGCAGGAATCCCCGAAGCGGAAGAGGGTTTGGGGAGTGTGTGAGCACACAGACCCCTGCACTGCTGTCTAGAGGGAATCTCTGCTCCCCCCCTCCCCCCAGTGACTGAGGGGAACAGGCAGGAGGCGGAGGAAGAGCCTGTTCCAGGCTAGTGACATGGAGGTACACACGGCTGCCCTGCCCGTGCAGAAGACTCTCGTCTGTAACTGTTTGGAGAACTCGGTGCCGGAGGCAGAAACGGGAGAGAGGACAGCCAGGCTCAATGCTGGTGAGCGTGGGGTCTGAGAGCTGATGATCCCCACATGATGGGTGGAATCATGCCAGACACCCATGCACAGGCTGCATTCTGGATAACAGACACAGCACCGGTGGGCAGATGCCACTGCAGGAACATTCACACGCATGACATGTCTGAACATGCATACCCATGAATACAACACAGACACACACGTGTGCGTGCAACACAGATACAGACATACACACACATAACAGACTCATGTTGACACAAACACATGCATATCCTGCACAGAGATACACAGACTTTTTTTTTTTTTTCCTTTCTTTTTGTTTTTTGAGACAGGGTTTACTCTGTGTAGCCCTGGCTGTCCTGGATCTCGCTCTGTAGACCAGGCTGGCCTCAAACTCACAGAGATTCGCCTGCCTCTGCCTCCCCATTGCTAGGATTAAAGGCGTGCACCACTGCTACCCACATGCACATGACATACATGGTCACACACACATCCATATACCACATGTACACATAGATACATGTTCACACAGAGCTGGCACAGACACACTCACGCAGACAACATACCTGCAGATCAAGATGCTACAGCAGGGCTGAGGAAATGTGTTCATTTAACTCTTAAATTCCCAAAGAAAAAAACAGCTCCATGGGTCCTGCTACAGGAGAGCCACAGCTGAGATGTGCTCAGAAACCCAGGAAGGAGTTCTGCTCGAGAGGGCGCGTGTGTAAGGCAGCCAGGGAAGCAGCATGGCTTCTGACAATCACCGTCCCCAGGAACCCGTTTCCAAGGCCACTGGCAGAAATGTAAGGATGTGGGCCGCGTTTGTGAGGAGCGTAGTCCTGTGGATTTCTAGTGTCTTCCCACCCGTGGCTCCCAGAGAAGCCCATCTAAGAAGCCAAGGAGGCTTGCCCGAAAGACACTATTATTTTTGCAAGCTTTGGTGAGTTTGCGAAACCAGCTCCGTCCTGCTGCTGCTACCAGGGATGGGAGATGTGGTTGTCGGGTCCCTGAAACAGACGAAGAAAAAGCTGAGGTAAACCTGACGGCAGTCATCTGGGAAGCTGGGAGCAGAGGAGCCCTCGCCACCACCGGGGATCCCGAGTGCAAAGTCCAGATGTGTGAGCCTCCATGTTGTCTTTCCGGTGAATACGGTTCTTTGGGAAGCAGCCACAGTGGCCACCAAGTGTCTAACCTGGGGCCTGCGGTCACAGTGGCCAACAGTGTCTAACCTGGGGCCTGCGGTCACAGTGACCACCAACAGTGTCTAACCTGGGGCCTGCAGACTACATGACCATGGATAGCTGTGAGTGCAAGCTGTCGTGAAACTGTACACGAACTTAAAACATTGACAGTAGCATTTTGGTAACTTGATGGTAGAAGTTATCAAGCGTGAACTTTGTAGATGACAATGTCATGCTACAAGTCTGCTAGAATGTTCCAGGGGGATCTGTGAGCATTTCACTTCTTCTAACTCTTAGAACATCTACTATAAAACTCTAGTTTACCTGCTCCAGACCAGGAGCCACAGGCAGCTCCACTCAGCCCGAGGGAAAGGCCACAGTTTAAAGACACAAGCCTCTTCTGCTCGGTGGGCACGGTGTCAGACGGCCCTGCAAACTCCTTCTCTCTCCCCAGAGCAGCTCCAAACCTCACCAGCAAAGTTTCTCTGCGCAGTGGGCGGTGGCTAGTGGGAACTCACAACTGGTCAAAGTGCAAAGAATACCTGTCCTGGAACGCTCAGCCACAAATGGGACAGCTCGGTCACCCTCCCTCCCCAAGGCTCAGGGGCCGTCACGGCAGAGAGAGTGGAAAGACCGTAAGAGCCAGAGTGTGGGAGGAACAGATCAGAACAGCGTCTTGTGGACACAACAGGACCACCATACTCATGAACGCATGGCAGCTGTGGCTGCCGGCACAAGATCAAGCCCTCCATCATCCCGGCGTGAAGGAGCGTGGGGCTCATGAGCCCCCACCCCGACTGAGGAGCTATGGACAGTTGATGGCTTCTGGGCGAGGGAGAGTCAGTTCTCTTTGAATTTTAGTTTATGTGTGTGGATGTTTTCTCTGCACCCATGTGTGTGCACCATTTATGTGTGCAGTGGCTGTGGGGGGCAAAAGAGAGCATCAGATCTCCTGAATGTGAGTTAACAGATGGTTGTGAGATGCCATGTGGGTGCAAGAACTCAGATCTGAAAGAGTAGCCAGTGCTCTTAACCACTAAGACATTTCTCTAGCCCCAAGAAAGTCAACTTTCTTTCAAGGTGTGGTCCTTGGTAGGCTATCCTTGCTCTAGTGAATGGCACACAGGAGGATATGACCAGCACAGACTGGATTCAATGGGATATTAGGAAGAAGAAAAAAAGGATCAAAATTCAGGGAGGGATGAGTAGATGGGTGGATGTGGGGGGATATGGAAGAGAGTGGGAGGTGGATATGACTAAATATATTGTATGAAATTCTTTTTTTTTTTTTTCAAGACAGGGTTTCTCTGTGTAGTTTTGGTGCCTGTCCTGGATCTCACTCTGTAGACCAGGCTGGCCTCGAACTCACAGAGACCTGCCTGGCTCTGCCTCCTGAGTGCTGGGACTAAAGGCGTGCGCCACCACCGTACGGCTGTATGAAATTCTTAAAAGGATTAATCAAAACATTACTTTTTTAAAAGCCTAGAGCCTCAGACGCTTCCAACACTAGCTAACAATGGAAACACGTGTGTGTCTGCTCAATAATTCTTCTGCCACGCAGCCTTCCCCACCACATTCGTGGCTAAGGGTCACACCCTCCCAATGGTGGCTCTCGCAGCTGAGGTTGCCCCATGTGGACCTGGAGCCAGGAGGCACGCTCTTGTCTTTACCAGTATTGACCTCTGGGGATGTGGTCTTACCTGAGTCCCCTCACCATGTGATCCCAGAGGGTTTGTCCACACTGTGCTGCTCGGGGTCTCCCACAGAACAGAGCAAGGGCAGAACCCTCCACACTGTGCTGCTGGGGTCTCCCACAGAACAGAGCAAGGGCAGAACCCTCCAAAGGTGTCCCCTGTGCTGAGATGAAGTCCAGCTGGCTCTTTCCAGATCTGAATGGAAGCAGAGACTCTGTTCCATGCCTTATCACTTCCCTAACCAGCCTCCCAAGCTGCAGTGTCCTTTCTGTATCACTCCGCCACTCAGAGACCAGGAAACATGCCCCAGGGGTGTGAGATATCTCTCCACGGTCTCTTAAACCTCCTTGGCATCTCCCCAGAGGAGTTGAGAATGTGCAGCCACAGGAAACCTACGTGTGTGTGTGTGTGTGTGTGTGTGTGTGTGTGTGTGTGTGTGTGTGTGTGTATGGCAGGGTCATCCCCAAGCCCTGAAAATGTGGAGGTTCCCAGTGTGTTCCCAGATGAAGCAGTCAGCGGATACACAAACTAGCCACTCAGACAATGAAGAGCATGTCATCCGGGGATAGGAAGGAGATACGCAATAATCTTAAACGTACTCCGCTGAGCAAAAGAAGCCGGTTTGAAGGCTCCGCATGGGACTCCCACTGTGCCACAGTGTGGAGAAGGAAGGCTGTGGAGACAGCAGGCAGCTCAGTGCTGATGGGAAGGCAGGACCACTACAGAGGATTTGGTTCGGGGTGTCTTTGAGACAGGTCTCAGGCTGGCCTTGAACTCACAAGCTCTGTTCAGCCTCCAAAGTTCAGCACTTTTTTTTTTTTTTGTTGTTTTTTGTTTTTGTTTTTTTTTTTTGGTTTTTAGAGACAAGGTTTCTCTGTGTAGCTTTGCGCCTTTCCTGGAACTCACTTGGTAGACCAGGCTGGCCTCGAACTCACAGAGATCCACCTGCCTCTGCCTCCTGAGTGCTGGGACTAAAGGCATGCGCCACCACCGCCCAGCTTTTTTTTTTTTTAAGCACTTTTTTTTTGTAAATTTTTTTTTTAAAGATTTATTTATTATGTATACAATGTTCTGCCTACATGCATGTATGCTTGCAGGCCAGAAGAGGGCACCAGATCTCATTACGGATGGTTGTGAGCCACCCTGTGGTTGCTGAGAGTTGAACTCAGGACCTCTGGAAGAACAGCCAGTGCTCTTAACCTCTGAGCCATCTCTCCAGCCCACACTGTCCACTTTTTAAGGCAGTGAAAGCAATTCTGTAATGATGGGTGGATGGTGGTGTGTACATATAAAGATCCATAGAATTTCATGTTATGGATAGTAACTAAAGCATCATGGGAGGTCCAAGGAGTCCTAGAAGGAACGGGACTATGGCAGGAGAATCAGCTGCATTGCAAATACACAAAGCCCCTCCCTGGAGGGCAGGACGTTCAGGACCAACATTGGAAACTGGGCAAAGCCGAGGCCAGAGAAAGGCACAGAAGAAGCCATTTATGAGCCCTGGGCTGGGTGAGCTCTGTCCCTGGAGAGCACAGGTCCACCTGATGATCTGTCCCAGAGACACTAACCATGGCCTTCTATGTGACGAGTGACATGGAGGGCGCCTCTTTCTCACCCACACAGGAGGTAACAGGAAAGAGTGGAGGGGTGGTGAGGGGAGATGTGGAGTCACCGTGGGGACTCACTTAGCTCAGTACAGATGCGGATGGTCACCTTCAGAGTCTGTGCACACCCCAGGATCTATCGTTGTCTCCCGTCCGACCGCCGGGTGTCATTACCCCCGTACCAAGGAGCCTACCGGGGACACATTCCCGTTGTCTGACGTTCCCTCCAACAAAAGGATCCCACTTCCTCAGAGAAATGGCTGGATCTAGGATGAGGGCAGGAAACACAATGACCCAGCATCTTGAGTTGGCAGAGAGTCAGGAAGTACTAAAATATATATATCCCAAACCCACAATGATGGGGCAGGTCAGAGGGCTATAGACGCCTACTAAGAGCCCGGTCGGCCAACACTGGAGCAATGGATATCCAAGCAGGTTAGGTGAGTCCTGATGTAAGAGTCAGGTAACCACCCATGAGTACGCACCGACATCAGTGCTACAGAATAAACCAGTCCTGCTGAGGAGGCAGGGCAAGTGCCCTCTGCAGACGTAACAGAAGGAGCTGCATGCTCATCTAATGGCGCGGTCCCTACTTCCTCAGTTGCGGGTCACTGAGCTGCAAGGACCTGGAGGTTACAGTGAGCAGAGGAGGAAAGGGGCGGGGAGATCAGCAGCACCCGTGATAACCCGTCACACCCCTGAAGACCCACCCCTGTAAGACTTCGGGTTCCCTAGAAGTTATCCCATTCATGCCCAGCAGTGACAGGCATGCAGGGCATTGTGGGCACAGGCAGGGCGGGATGGGAAGGCTCCTGCTGGGCCTGGTTCTGGTCATGCCTGCCTCACTGCATCTAAACATGGAGGCAGACGTCCGCATCAACCATGCCTCCACAGTCCTGAGGGCTTGGCTAACCCCAGCCAGGAAGAGACTTCTTGATGGTTTCCATCATAAAACGGTTAGGTCTTTAGGAAAAGTTCGACACTTTTCATGTAAATTTTGATGTTATGTTGATGTTATGGTGATGGATTTTGTTTGTTTGTTTTTGGTTTTTGTTTTTGTTTTTTATGGTGAGCAATTTGAAACTGGTTTATCTTGAGGCCAGTAAAACCACTATTATCATCCTTTCTTACCCATGTATCTGTTGGGGACAGGACATACCGTATACAGTGCTGTCCCCAATTCTGGACATGTGAAAAAGCTCTGTATTTGAACTACGCTGAGTGGAATTCTGCTGGAATTCCACCAGGTGAACCAGATGGCCTTCCGGGTGGCCACTGCCCATGGCCGGCTCAGGCGGAGGGAGCCCTGGCTGACTCGTTCCATTTGCTGCCTGTTGGCCATGTAGGTCAGCTCTCCATGGGTCTCAGGACTGCACCAAAATAGATGACTTTGACTTCTAACTTGAAACCTTATGCGCCGACGGCTTAGCACAAACCTTCTCTCGAGGATGCGCGCACTTCCGAAGAAGTGCCTGCAGCGAGACTTAAGTGCAGCTCCGTGTGTGGTACTGTAAATGGCAAAGCAGCTCCAGGGCTGTGTCATGTGCCCCCTGCACCAGTGCTGAATGCGGGGCAGATGTCAGAGGTGGGTTTGTGGACATGGGATCACTCGCCCTCCCGCGGACATGCTCCGTCTGTTCTTAACTGTAGTGCAGCCTCGGCTCAGGCAGCATCACATCTGAGACAGACCCCTCGCATTGAGGTTGTAACCCTCAGCCTCCCACCTCCTGGACAGTGATCCATAACAGGATGGCCCAGGAGCCTCCAGGATGCACAGGGTGTGGAAATGACATCCACCCTCAGCCCGCCTTGTGTGGTCCCACAGGCTAAATGTTTCGCTTCCCTGTCCTACCAGCGTTCAACAGGCTGATGCAGAAGGATTGCCGTGAGTTTGAGGCCAGTCTGGGCTACACAGCGAGACTCGTTCTCCAAAATAATAATAATAATAATAATAATAATAATAATAATAATAATAATAATGTAAATAATAGGCAGATAATACCTTTGCAGCCATAGGGTAACTAACTGCAAGGTAACTTAAGAATGTGGGATCTAGGCCGGGCGGTGGTGGCGCACGCCTTTAATCCCAGCACTTGGGAGGCAGAGGCAGGCGGATCTTTGTGAGTTCGAGGCCAGCCTGGTCTACA